ATGCACTGGAAAAATTATTAAAAATTATTTTTGTATCAAATGCATTAATTCTTAGTACAATCTCTAATATTTTAAACTTTAAATAAAATTGAAACGAAATGTTTTACATATTCCATTCAGCTGCACATATAATGATATAACTGAAACATCAGAGAACATTTCTCATTTTTGGATTTAGAGAATGAATCATCCTACGAGTTAGTATATAAAAAAATTATTATATAAATTATATTTTATTTTAGTTAAGATTAGTTTTAATTTTTTTAATTTGTGAAACCATTTATTTGAAATCAATTCTTATATCAAATTAATGAGTTATTTGAGTAATTGTAGTATGATCCAATTGATCGCCATGTACTCGAGAACACTCACAGTATTTTAAAAGTGAATAAAGTATCATGTGGTATTAAATATAAATTATGAAATACATATAAAGTACATATTTGTGGCAATGTATGGCATTTAAAATTGTTTTACCGTTGTTATTTCAGTACTTTCATTGAAGGGTCAAAATGACCCCTCACCGCCATTCTAGTGTTAAGTGAAGTGTGCTGCATGCAGAAGAAAACATTATCCAATATTATGCCAGATCTTGAATAAAGATAAAGAAATGATTTGATAGAAAATACCTGTAATATGTTAACAATGTCTCAGAAAGAGACTACTTACAAACTCGTTAATGTAGTTGGTGAAAATGTTACAAAGAAACAGTACTATGTGATTCCAGCTCACAAAGAAGTTATCTTACCCAGAACTGAGCAACAGAATTAAAATTGAAACCTAGAGGTGCAGTATATACTCAAAGAACTATTTAGAGTCACAAAACTGCACTTACATCACATTGTGTTTGTTAGCTCTTACTGGCAACTTTGGACTTTGTGATTTTCAATGTGAAGTAAAAGTACTTGATCAAGATCTTATCTGTAGCTATGTTTCTAAAATTAGTGATATGGCTCCTTATTCAAGTTTCACAGGAATCTCTTTAACAGATTTTACATGCATAAATGATAATCTTGCTGACATTCAGGTATTATTAGGTGAGTGGTAAAATTATTTTAAGTAGTGAATCTGAATCTAATGAAGAAAGCCAGTGTTAAAGGAAAAGCATTGGATAACAGTGAGAACATAGAGAAAACAGAAGCAAATAGCATAGGCCTGCAGAAATTAGAGAAACAAAAGTCTTTAATGCAGGCAAAGTTAGCTAAAGTTGATGCAGTTGTTTAGCAGTAACCTTCTTTTGTTTCTGTTGAATACAGTATTTCAGATGAGAATAGTCCTCTTCACATTGAAAATACTATAGAAAGATGTGATTCTGAGCCTGCTACCAGTAGAAATTTTTTTCAAGTACAAAAGATGTTCTACGTAACGAAATATCATCACCACAAACATGATAAAAAAATGACAGAGGTGAATCAAAATAGAAAATGTGCATAAAAGAGTTAAAAGCTTAAAAGAAAATCATGGCGGGAAGCATGCAAGTAGTATATCAAAACATAGTGATACTTTATGTGATCATAGTATAGAAAAATGTTCAAGTGACAAAGGGAAAATGATTATATGGAATTAAGAAACCATGAAAAATCACCAAAATCTCATGAAAGGCCACATTCTCCTCCAAAGGAATGAACTTTCTCATCATACTAATACAAGAATTCGCTCTCCTATCAATCTATCAGAAATGGGAAAACTACCATCACTATGTTGTAAAGAACGGTATTGTGGTTATCCCCCCAAGATAACATTCTCATTGTAGTCCTTCACCCAGAGCTTCATACCCTTGATATTGAGAAATGTTATCAGATCTTGTAGTCCCATGCCACGTAAATCTCCCGAACACCATGTCTCAGATTTTTGGACCTCAAGTAGATCACCTTACCATTAAGCATCAGATTTCAGGGGCTTCATTTGATTGATAAATAAAGACTCCAGGACCTCGGATAGAAGATCTGTGGTTTGTGCAGTTTCACCTAGAAGGTATCCAAGTGATTGAACTAATAGCCATCCACAGAGTGGGAGTAGAACATGAAATTCTGAAAGTAACAAAAGATTACATAGTCCTAAATCTTATAGCAATAGAAAATGGCTGCGTGATAATATGAGACCTACAAATGCTTCAAGAGAAAGTCCCCATCGAAAATCTCAGTCAAATGGCATGGCTAATTAAGACAAAAAACATAGGAGAAGTCAAAAAGTTAAGGGTCTCTGAAGGGAATCTGAAGGGCATGAAGATTCATTAGATGATCAAATTGTTGATCTTGAAGTAGAAGAGGAGGAGGAAGAAGAAATTGTCATTTAGAGATGCAGACAATAAAGGCAAGAACTATTAAAAACACTGAGAGTGGAGCAACCTCATGGAGGAAGTGGTATATTATCTCCAGCTTGTTCCAACAGAACGATGGATACACCTGATTCCATTATTATTGCAGATCACGCAGCAGCTAATATTAAGGCTGAGCAAGATGAACAGTCCAATGATTTTGAATATATTCTGTATAAAAGAAAAATCATAGGTTGACAAGAGGCTAATGCAAAAAATGCTGTAGCTAGTGGCATGCAAAAAAAAAGGAGAAACTGGATACGCTTTCATAAGCTGATAATTTTGTATTTGATCTTAGCCCTGATTCAATACATCACATGTCTGCTGCCAGGCAAGAAAATCTAAAGTATTTTCTATCTAAAGTAAAGAAAATCTAACGTAAAAGTAGTATGATGAACAAGCTCAATCTAGAAATAAATCAGAATACACCTTTACATGAGTTTTAACTCAATAATTTCAGAAAAACGTCCAAAAATTTCCTATTTTTCTTACTACAAGATATTTAAAAAAATTGCATTTTTAGATGAACTACTTGTGAAAAATTATTCATATGTTAAAGTATATACAGTATTGGTGACACATAAAAACTCATTGGCTCATAAACTCAGCCACTTATTGAGTTAAAATTTCCAGGGAGCAAAACAAATGCATACTAATCAATTGGAAAACCGAGATTTACCATTCTCTGCTGCTTTAAAAACACATACTGGGAAAAGACTGATTCTTCAAATCCAGAGTAACCTGCTTGTAATAAAAGCTGTTTGTAGTTCTTTCAGTTATCTCTCATTAATGGAGTGCTTTAATAAAAGGGGTTTAGTAGATATGTCAGCCAGCATAGTTTGGAACCAAGACACCTTGGAAGCGTTTTCTAGTCCCTGTCAAATACTGTTTCTGAAGCTCTTTGTCTGGATTAGAGCTGAGAGCGACAGAATACATTTATCTTATCATTGATAAATGATGAATGAGAATTGGAGAGGTCCTGGACACCCGATGCACCATTTATGGCTACACTTGTCAAGGTGTATTTAGTAATTAATGTAACTAGACCTAGAGATATAGCTAGAGGAAGGCAGGACAGCTTATTCTGGATTTTTTACAATTAAAATTAAAATGAACAATGAAATTGTGCACAAATCTAATTTTAAAGAATTAGAAATAATAATAAGATTAAATGATACTGATCTAGATCACATCAAAGCAGTTACTTCGGTGAAAAGATTAAATTACCCCTAAGCTATCAGAGAGCAAATGAGAATGCAATTTAAATGGGAATATCTTGGACTGTTAAATTTAACTAATGCTAGTGATGCTGATGTAGTTAAAATAGTAGACATTGTTATAACTGGTAATGACAACAAAAGGCGATTGGATTAGTGAATAGCAAAGGTTGTTGAAGCATTTCTAGGACGAGATGTTGCTAACCGACTTGTAATAATAAAAACAGCTAATGGGTATCAATTGAGACATAGACAGAAACTCTATCTCTTAGAAATTAACTTTAAGACTGAATGATCTATCGAAGAAAGGGAACTTTTTAATTCAGCGGTCTCAACATTTTGAAAAGAGAAATTTTGTGAAACTGAACCAGAGAAACATCCCATGCAAACACTTTCTAGAAGAGTCGTTCAACTGGAAGAAAGACTTGATCTTTAAGAACTTTCGAACTTTTCGACATTTAGTTTTATTTAATGTTTACAAAGCTCTCACTTGACAAAGGTGAGTGGATGTTAGAAATGTTATTTCCGAACCTTTACTTATTCAACTCCAGGAATCTGTTAATAGAAATTGTGCTTATGAATTTTGTAGTTCTGTTTTAGCTTAGTATGTGGAGATTGTCACTAGCCATTTTTATAACTTCCTTTTCTTATGTTAAATTTATTCATTAGTTGTAAATGAAAACTTATCTTTAATTTCAGGTGATTCGAAGCTTGATTTTACACTGGACTCCTATCTGAAAAAAAAAATTAAACCTCAGGCTACAGGTAGTCAAAAAGGTGGAATTTTAGCACTCATAATTTCCCATCATTAATGAAGCTCCTTCCATTACCCAATGTTACAGATTACCAGTTTTTATGCTGGCTGATTAAGAAGCTGATTAGGAAGATTAAGAACTGGAACAAAAGCATCAATATTTTATAATTAAAAAGTACTTCTTAGCCTTTAAAACAGCATATTCGTATTTATATAACTTTCATACATATTTGATACATTATATCATACATATTTCATACATAACGTGTTTTTAAAGAAAAAGGCGCTTACAAAACAATAATAATGGAACACTAACTGGTAATGTCTTTGAACTGATATTGCCACTCAGATCTAAATAATTACATAAAAACATTAAATGCTGACACTACAGATTAACACTATTTATATAAATTTAACTGGGTATGATTACCCTACGAGTTCCTATCTATAATATACATGTAAGGAGTGATTTCAATGCCAACTTAATTGTGCATGTATGTTACTATATTTCCAATTATTTTTAAGTATATTTATAAAAATATGGTACAAAATTTTAGTTTGCTTTTAAGTTTACATTATACATAAATGAAAATATTTGCAAAATTGCCTTGTAAAAGGCAATATAAATACAGAACTTAATGCATTAGAAAAACATATTTAACTCCACCCTACGAACACTAGAAATAACAATAAAGTATAACTGCTGCATTACCTGGATTTGATGCAACACTACACATACCAGAGTCAATAACAGGGGACGGACTTAAATCTTTATGCTTTTCCTAATGAAAGAATAAAAGAAACTTTCCTATTATTTCTGATGAAAGAAATAAGAAACAAATGAAAGAAATAAATTAAAAGAGAAACTCAACAAATAAAGTTTTCATAATTTATATAAAGAAATATTTAAAGTATCATGAAGGCTTTATTTTTAGATTTATTCAAATATGAAATTTATTAATTATACCATATCTTCATTTTTCTGAGTCCTATTTTTAGCTGGCAGCAGCTTAATAGCTTTAGATTTCAAGTCCTTAGGATATGGAGTAGTATGACGAACAAGCTCAATCTAGAAATAAATCAGAATACACCTTTACATGAGTTTTAACTCAATAATTTCTGAAAAACGTCCAAAAATTTCCTATTTTTCTTATTACAAGATTTTAAAAAAAATTGCATTTTTAGATGAACAACTTGTGAAAAATCCTTCATATGTTAAAGTATATACAGTATTGGTGACACATAAAAACTTACTGGCTCATAAACTCAGTCACTTATTGAGTTAAAATTTGCAGGGAGCAAAACAAATGCATACTAATCAATCAGAAAACCGAGATTTCCTAATCTCTGCTGCTTTAAAAACACATACTGGGAAAAGACTGATTCTTCAAATCCAGAGTAACCTGCTTGTGGTTAATAAAAACTGTTTGTAGTTCATTGAGTTATCTCTCATTAATAGAGTACTAATAAAATGGGTTTAGCAGATATGTCAGCCAGCATAGTTTGGAACCAAGACACTTTGGAAGCATTTTCTAGTCCCTGTCAAATACTGTTTCTGAAGCTCTTTTTCTGGATTAGAGGTGAGAGCGATAGAATACATTTATCTTATCATTCATAAATGCAGTCCTCTAGAAGAACTGGAAACAAATCCTTTGACTGCTTCCCAGGATACATACATTATGTTGCAGGGTGTTCTCATACACATTAAACTCTCTCTATATATGTGTGTAATGTATGATGTATATTCTCATACATATCACGAAATGCTTCCTTACATTATTGTACATTATCAATCTTTGAAAGAAAAAGTTGATCAGTAATTGTAGACTAAAAAAAAATTGATTACATCTATTATAACAAGGAAGTGACAGTTCGACTTGATAGAAAAAGTGCAATCTTCCTGCTGGCTAGAAACAGGAATTTTAGATTAATGAAAAAATAAAACACTTGAAGAAGCCTCAACAATATATGACATTCCTTCACTTGTACTCTCTACATAAATCCATCACTCTAATTTAATAAAGTGCATTCTTCATGGAAAATTTCCAATCCATGTAATCTTCCTTTCCATTCAAATGTTTCTGACTAAATGAACCTTCTCCATCTAGAATTTTCTTAGCTTTAATCGACAAGGCACACAAAATTATAATTTGAGATGAATTCAAATTGAATTAATTTTATTCTCGAGAAATATTTACCTAAATAAAATAATTAATAGTTAAAAAATATTTTCTTTAATCTTGACTCGTCGGGACTTCGGCGATTTCGGATTAGGAATTTTCCTGAATTATAGATCATCAATTTAAATCTGTTAAGATGGCATGCAGAAATTATAAAAGTAAAAATATGAAACTGTAATTTATGACATAAAGAGCAATTATGATCTAAAGGGTATCAAAATTTACAAAATAAAAAAAAAAGTTTAATATTTATTTGTTTACTTTATTAAACATTTCTTTCAATGTAAGTTGTTTAATTTAAGTTGCTTCATTCTATGTGCTAATACTTTCTTTCTTCTATTTAATTCTATAAACAGACATAATTTCTTGCTCAGTTACAAAAGTTCCGCTGGCTCAAGTCCTTGTAATTGCTTGCTGTGCCGAGAAATACCGACTAACTTGTCAACTGAAATTTTTTCATTTTCACTAACCTCTCTGTTACTTTCTTCATGCCTTTAACCATTTTTTGAAGCAATTCCACTTTTTGTTTGATGGACATTGAAACATGCTTTCACTTTGTAGATCCTTTGGCAGCTCCAGATACGGAAACTCTTTTTGACATAATCGAAAGTTCAAGCTTACTTTTTATAAAATTGCTCTAACAAACCACAAAAAAATAATAAGCCAGATCCAATTAGAAGATTAAGGAACAATGCATAAGCACCACACATGCGCAGAAAGTTTGTAGCTTTGAGGTGCGGATTATAGATCATTCCAGATTATGGACGTCCGGATTAAAGACTTTGTACCATAGTAGTATAACTAGTAAAGCTTTCATAACCATATGGTTTACTTAACTCTAATCTAAACATGTGGTTTTTGTGCTAAATTAATTCCCTTAATTCTGAAATTTACTCGCAGAATTTAATAAACAAACTAACTTAACTAGACATTAGATTATTTATCCTCATTTCTTAGATCTGGGCCCAAAACCTATAAACAAACTTACTGTAGGAGAGATCAATTGTTTCATCATGCATGAGAATAAATACAGGCACAACATGGGAGTTTTGAGCAAGTTCAATTTGAGTTTTGAGCAAGTCAATTTGAGTTTTGAGCAAATCAAGTTTTATTGGATACATAAAAATTTACAGACAGTTAATTATCAGTGGTGGCATCTACGGGCTAAACACATATTTAAAGCTAACATCTTTTTATATTAACTTACCATACTAACAAAAACTCATGGATCACAAGCAGTAATTTTACTGATTTAATTTTTAAATGGGAGAATACAGATTGAAACAGAGAACTGAAATAAGAACTTTTGAATAGAAAACTGAAAAACAAAAATATGACTTTTAAGTGCTTTATAATTGTACTACACATCCTTTTGATATCACTCTAAAAAACACTAGTGTTCCTTAGTGCAAATAACGACTTTTATCATTCAGCCTCTAGGGATAATATAAAAACTTTCAAATGTCATTACAGAAAAGGTGTAATTTGAGAGAATATAAACAAAATTCAATCTTGTAAAAATTTCAGCACTTCAAAAGAGCTACACTGCAACCTTTGCTGGAGGCTATGCAGAAATTGCTTTAGGCTTTTTTTTTTTTTTTTTTTTTTAAGAAGCCACAGAGGAATTCTAATATTTCGGACATCAGTGAGGGAAATTATAAGGATTTGTTTCTAAAATACATTACAGTTGATAATAAATACTGAGACATCATGTGTAAATACTGACTATGATACCACAGAAAGTGTTAAAAGAGCTGCAGAAGCTAAAGTGATGTAGAAGGGAAAGTGACTACATGCAAACCTCAGATAAATTGAGAAAAGTACTGCAAACTGTAAAAAACTCTTGAACTGAAAGGTGGAGATCAGAAAAGCTGCCAGTAGTACACTTGAGAGACTGTTGATAAACATGAACAAAAGAAACATGAATAGTTCTTTATAAAAGATTAAAATTTCATCAAGTATGTAATTATAATTTTTTTAACCTGTTCAGGACCAGCGTCCCGTATATGCAAAGCAACGATTTCACTCCTACCAGCCCAGTGTCCCGTATACACTATGCAACAATTCTACTTCTACCAGCCCAGTGTTGTGTATACATAACTTTAAAACGGAACAATTTATTTGAATTTTAAAAGCCAGTAGATGGAGCTAAATGGTATGATTCACATGGGTTGATTCATACGGCATTTGACCTTCATGTACTAGCATTAGTTTCTGTTTTGTGCTTCTGGGTTTGATACATTTATTGGTATAAACAAACTGGGAATCACAGCTCTTTATAAGTGTGCCTGTGAATTAAAGGGGTACAGGCATCTTTGTTTATTTTGTTAGGAATTTCTTTCTTTCTTTTTTTTTTTTTTTTTACTTTTTGTTCTTTGCTTTTTTTTCATTATTAGAATGTGGGTAAGTGCATCCAGCTGACTATAGCAGGTGTAACGTTGCCGAACATCCATGATAGGAAAACTCAAGACCAGTTTGCCCTTTTTTTCCATTTATTTTGAAGTTTAACATACGCCTTTTTGGTTAATTAAAAAGCAACATTACAATGTTATTACGGAAGGGGAAAGATTATCAGCTTTCTCAACGCGTAATGTGTCTTACTTGTTCGCATTTCTCAGGAAAGTGTCAGTGTTTTTGTTTTTCTTACTTGATTTAATAGGTTATTATATATAATGCCTTGAATGATCATTATATATAATGACCCAGGCATAATATATTTACTTTACATATAATGCATATATTGACGTGATCAGTAATGGATATCCCGCCAATGGGGAGTGACTTTCCGGTCATCGTGGCGAACACTGTTTTTCGATTTAGAAAAAGTTTAGTTTTCTAATATAAACCTCTTGTTACACAGGGTTTGAGGATGAAATATTTCTGGGTGTCTTTTGAAGAAGTTTTAGGACATGTATTGGGGTTATACTCAGTTTCATTCCGTTAGCCATGGCTAAGAGACCTTACTTAAAAACTTAGAAATTTGTCCAAAATCACCAGACACTCCCCCTTTCCATCTAACTGGATGACATTTTTCGAAAATTTACACAGACAGAAAAGGTAATAAAAGTAGGAGAAGATACATTGTGTGCGCTAAAACGAAGGAAAAGCGAAAGCAAAAAACGCATTTTGAGTGCAAAATATGCACTGTAGGACGGTGTCGATCCTTGTTTTGAATTATTTCACACACAGCAGAATTTTTGCATTGGAATTAAATTACCTACAAGTAATTTTTGTATAGTTTTTTAAAATTTCGTTATTTGCAATTTTTTTTTCACGTTTATAGTATTTATTTCTGTGTGTATAGTTATGAGTTTAGTATTTTGCCTGTTTAATTTATTTGTATAAATGCAATATTTTTTATATTAATACACATTAAAAACAGGTACATTAAATGCACAACTTCAAAAATCGAAGTCATAATATCAAAATGCTGATTTTAGACTTTTTTTTTTTTTTTTTTTTTTTTTTTGTAAAATTAGGCTTAACTGCTGAAAATGTGCGGGCCAGTGGCGACAATCCATTTCAGCAGATCCGGTCCCGTGACTGCACTTCGTTCTCTGTGGGCTGGTCCTTAAGCCCTTCGCGCCGACTGTCACGTCTACGTGCCAGCAACAAACACACTCACCTACCAGCCGACACGCAGGCATGCCAGAGCATTTTCCCCTTTACTACCGACGGTCACATATTTGTGCCAGTACCCTGGAACGTTTTAGAAACTATATTTTCTGCCACAAGATGGCACTGTATGTCCATATGGTTTCAGATACATGTACATTAGACCTTCTACTCGAAATGAGAGATGCATGACTCACATACACGTGTTTTTGATTATATAAACAAATGCGGAACTAAATGTTTCCGAATGGCGTGATTTATAACGTCTCTTTAAATCGCACTTTATTCGCACGTGGTAGTTGTTTATTGTAAGTAGAAGTTTTATATGCGCTAAAGCATTGAGTATTTTGGTTTACAGTTCAGTTTTTAGAAAATAATTAGATCTTGTTAGACGTGAATTCTTTCTGTTTTTACCGTTGCAATGTCGAAGCATCGAAAATGTTTAACAGAGCATGAAATAGCAGAAATGATGCAAAATATTTCAGATATTGACTCTGAAATTCTGATATTCTGATATTGATTCTGAAAGATTAACTGAAAGACATTTTCCAAAAAAACTTTGTTCAGAAGAGAGTGATAAGAAAATGAAAATGACGCGATACTTCGACGAACACGTATCGTTATTCACATTCCCGGAAAAAGGAAAAATCCTCCAAACGGCAAAAAACGGCAAATGAGTTTATACGAGTTCAAGGAATGTAATGTAGGACTGTGTGTGTAGATCCCGTTGTTTCAAATTTTTTCATACGCAAAAAGAGAATATATTTAGTTTTCAGATGTATAAAGTCATATAAAATGGTGAAGTAAGTGAGTAGTTAATAAAATAAAATGTGTGTAAAATATGCATTTAAACAAGAAAATAAGGTAATTAAAGCATATATATATATAAAATATCTATAAAGCTTAAGCGTTTAAATACTCTATAGAGCATTATTAAACAATGTATTGATACTTCGGAAATTTCATCGATTTAGGCTTAGTAGCAAAAAAGCCCCCTGCCCTGGAGAGACGCTCACGGAAGACACTGCTGGCCTCCGCGATAAGCGCGCGTTTTCGCTACCCGGCTCGAAGGGGTTAAGGGGTTAATTAAAAAAGTTACATAAATTATAAAATTTTATAAAGAGTTTAATTTTAGCATTAAATTTTAATTAATAATTTAGACATTATTAGATTAATTGTTAGTTAATATATTACTAAATAAGTTCAAAGCTAATACTGAAATTTAAAATATTGAAATTGCCATCAGTCAGTCAATAAATATGTTTAGAAACGAAGTGATCTTAATAACCAGTGGCCACCGTGTACAGAGATGAAAATTACTATTACCTTCGTACTTCTGGTTCCTTGCATACATATAAGCATGAGTAAGAAGCTTATTTTACTTAATACCCCTGTAATGTTGGCTTTTTTTTTACTACATGCAGGTAGTAATAAACATTTTACACAGCTTTACCTTTTACATTTATTATACATCGAAAAATTTTAGCTATAACTTAATTTTTCATCTTGGTATGGTCTAATTTAAAACATGAAACTGCAAAGGAAGGATATTTTTGGTATCACAGAATGAACAAAAATTAAAACATGCAAATTACAATAATACAATGTGAAAGCTATTTTATGAAATTTTAATAATAGTATTAGAAAAGTTTAGTAATTCATAATAAAATTTTACTAAGCCAAATGTTTAATAAATGCAATGCAAAGTACCTGTCAGAAAGCAGATGTTTCAGTATGAATTCAATAGGAAGAAAAACCACAAGTTAGTAAACATTGTTAATAATATGGGATAGTCAAAACTATAACTTTGGAAATCAGATGCCTGTACCATATATGGGCACTGTGCAAAAAGGGGTTGCCATATAACGCATCGGCAAAACTGTTAAGGGATCGAACTCACTTTTAAACTTATACACTGAATGCTCAATCTAAATGTAAACAATAACATAAACTTAGACTTAATTAACAAGAATTCATGCAAGGTTTAGATTTTACATTAAAATCTCTTACATTCTTATCTAGCTCATCTTCACTTTCAACTTCAAATTCAACTCGCTGATGATTACTGAAGACTTTGTCTTGGGAATCTGCACATGTAACTGAAAATTACACAAGAAAAATTAGCCATTATAAAATTCCATCTCTAAACTATTTAGGAGCCTTTATTAGATTCCTAATCATGAAATTGTTCTATTGCCCTCCCAAAAAAAAAAAAAAAAGAAAAGAAAAAAAGAAATCACTAAATTAATACCTGAATAATCAACAGTATAATCTTGCTGAGGAAGCATATAGCATGTTATTATGTCCCGATTGGCTTTCCAGTCAAAATCTCGTTGAAATTTCAGAAGAGGTTGATGCTAGAGAGAAATTTAATTAGTGATTCTTACAACACAAATTTGAAAGAAAAATTAAGTTTTTCAAATTTCTAAAAATAAAAAAGCAAAAACTTCCAACAGATATATAACACACAAGATGAATAAAATTAAAAACAATACACATATATAAAATCACATTAAAAAAACTGAAAGAAAAGCACAATTAAAAGTTCTCCATATGCAGTCAATACACAAAAAACCCAAAATTTAAAATTAGAAATTTATGACTCATTTTTCCTAAATGTTTTCGAAACTCTAAAACTGCTAAGTGGAACCTTAGATTGATGGAAAATATTTTAATTTCTCTAACAATTGCTAAGAATTTTAACATTTACATCATAGATCAATTATGAATCTTAAATCAGTTTTCAACAACAGTTTGCAATAATCTATGCAAAATGCTTAATTTTTGCAAACTTATTATCTGGAGTTCAGAATTAATTATGAAATCACGGAAGGAAAATTGATCATACTTAGTGATGAAACTATCACATGTATTCTAAAAATATCCCATACACTGAAAATAAGGTTATTACAATAATTTATGAAAATATCTTTATAATAATTTATGGAAAGAATAAACAAACCAATCATCACATAAAGGCAATTTAAAGAAATTGTACAAAATTGTATATAAAAACTAACTGATTTAGTAAATAGAAAAAATATACTTTATATATTGGTTTACAATGAAGCCCTTGAACTTTAAATTTGAAAATTAACTTACATTAAATGAAAGTTTATTGATAACTCAGATATATATTTCACCAAATTTAAAGCATATCTGTATCTTTGATGGGAGAGATAAATAATCCAAACCAGTGGCTAGTAACAGCATATGGAAAATGTGTGTGCTAAAATACATTAACAGCATGGAAAGAGCAGATGTTAACAGCAGATAGCAGTTGTTTAAAGCTCCACACAGCGTAAAGCTTCAGTACTTGTTAGTATGCTGGTGTCAGTGTGAATATTACTGCGCTCTTACCAGCACCTCTAATACCCTGGTTAAGGGAAATAGCACATGTAAAACCGTAAATAGTTCCGCTTAAAGATAAAATGCAAAAGAAAAAAAAAAAAAAAAAATTGGCAGGCCCTGGCCTGTGAAAGATAGTGCAAGAGAAGCTCTGCTTAATATGTAAATGAAGTATAGTGTCGAGAACTAAGAACTAGAGATTCAGGAGAAGAAGTTAAGTGAGTGGCTGGTGGTAGGCACATGGTGGTCACCCTCCCACACTGTGACCGCCGTGAATGCTGCTGGGAAAAGAAGTGCGAGTCAGGAGGGGATAATATGAAATGAAATGTGAAAATTTAGACAAAAATACATTAAATGTCATAAGTAAAATGGTGTGTAGCATAAGGTCATAGATTATAGTCCTCTTCTAGGAGGTTATATTTGAAATTATCTGCATAATTAACTATATCATTAGTAGTGGCATTGTATAGAAGTCGTTATTTATCCTTCTGGGTATGTTTTGATGTTTTCGAGTTTAAGATGTTTATGAAGGCCTGTGTTGTGTATGAAACACGGAGCTTCCCTTGTTTTGAGCCCTTTGTCCCTTTTTTTTTTGAGAAAATTATTTTGAAAAGTTTGACGCTTTAGTCAGATTTTGAAGCCATGCACCAGACCCTGGATGCATAAGTTAATATTATGTGAAGAATGAAGGTGTAGATCTGCCTTTTCCTAGCAAGGTCTAGCACTGATGTTGAAATAAGGATGTTATTCAGTTTCCTGGACACACCAATTGCTTTGCCAATGGCTGTAAAAACATGAGGATTCCAGCTAAGGGTGGAGTTGAATTTTATGCCTAAGCAGATAGCCTTAGTGACTTTAGGAACCTTTACATAAATAATGTTAAGTGAACATCCACAGCTGGCCGATGAGTAAAAGATTGGATTTAGATAATGGTAGTCCTCTTTTTTCGACACCACCGTTCAGTCTCATGCATCCTATCCTGGATGCACATAACAGCATGGCTAGGCTTGAGTGAAGAAGAGCAAATGGCTGCATTGACAGCATATGGAGTAAAGAATCAGAATCATCTCTTAAATTATGGTACTACAAATGAGTTTGAACCATAACATTCAATCATGCCAATGGCCATTTGTGGTAATTTTTAATTAGATCAAAGGGTGCATGAGGACCACACCCGCAGGGAAATTCTGGTCAAGGTGGCAAGTCATGGAGAGAAATAATTACATCAGGTCAGTTTGAAAATAAATGAGAAATTCAGTACTGGTAGTCTAGAGTAGGCGCTGGGCATATGATAAGCAGTTTCAAATAGCTAACTTGAAGTTTGACGGAGACTGGAATGAGCAGAGTAACGTGAGAGTGCTTTCGAGAAGTCATGTGACATGAAGCAGCGATTTGATTGGTACACAGAGTTCATTTCGTGAATGTGCAATTAAGCATGAAAATCAATTAATGTCATTAAAAATGCACTAATTCCTTGGTTAGGACGCATTCACTGAAGATTAAACTTTGTAAAAAAGACCATAGGCATAATTAAAAACTAAACATGAGCTTTGGAAAAATATTAAACTGTGGAATGGGCATGAAGTCACATGAGCCAATGAGTGGAGAGAATGAGAACTTTGAAGAAATTCGAAGGTGCGTAAATGAAGACCACTGCAATACATTATGATGCATAGTAAATAATTAAAATACTAGAAATATGTACACACACAAAGTCCTTTAGCGTTGCAAAACAGTTCCATAGGTAAAGTGTTAAATCACAGTTCCATATAGTAACACAAAGTCCGTGGCTTCACCATGAGAATATAACACAAATACTTGGTCACAAAAACACAACACACAATTCTTGATTAAATATGAAGATAAATATGAGGATAAATATAGAGAATAATGCTATATATCCACCACTTGGGATTGTGGTGGATCGACAGTGACCTTTTTACCACACTTTCTTCCATGGGATCATAATTTGCTAAGGCATTTATCGCATTATAAGGAGAATTTTGAAGACATGGAAAAGTTGTGAGCAGAAATTAAAATTTGTTCGTGAATGCACGGAATTTTTAAATTGTGATTAATCTGGAGATTTTTCACGAACCAGGGTGCATCTGTCAGGGATCTGAGAATTTTGTTTTGAAGTACACTTATTTTCTTCCTTTCAGTTTTGTTAGCAGTAGCCCATGCTGGCATGGCAAACAAGAGGATCGGACGAATTAAAGTAATGCATAACGTATGCTTTACTCTTAGATCAAGTTTTGATTTCCTACCTAGTAAAGGATAAAGAGCCACAAAGGTAGCATTTGCTTTGTTAATCACATAGGTGACATGCTTTTTGAAAGATAATGTGCTATCAATATGCACACCTAGGTACTTGTAAGAATTTGCAGTTGGGATAGGAACATTGTTGATTTTGATGCTAATTTCTACTGGAAAATGTTTCTTGTACTGCCAGTAAAGGACTACACAGCATTTGGCCAGATTTAGGTTGATTTTCCACAGCTTGCACCAAGCATCTATGACATATATCTGAAATCTAAGTTTGTCAATTGATCTTGTGGGTTGGTAGAATCTGTAAGGATAACGGTATCATCCGCATATTTTAACACGTTTGCAGAGAAAGGCTTCGGCATATCATTTACATAAATATTAAAAATTTTTGGACTAATTACTGACACTTGGGAGACTCCTCTGTAAATAACTTTTGTGCTGGAAAGAGCATTGCCACAGCAAACTTGAAAAGTTCTTCTTTTAAGGTATGAACAAATAAGTTTCAAAAAGCTATTTGGTAGCATGAAGTTATTGAGCTTGTAGATGAGTCCTGCATGTTACACTCGATTGAATGCTTTCTCGAAGTTGAGGTAAAATACAGCAACTCCTTTTTCCTTCTGGAATTCCAGGGCAATAAGCTTGATCAGATTAAAAATTTGATGTGCAGTTGAATGTCCTCTGTGGAACCTAAATTACTGGCTGTCTATGAGATCCAGCCATTCTAAGTGATCATTTAGGCATGCATTAATTATTTTCTCAAATACTTTGCTAACAGTAGGCAGAAGACTGATCAGCCTGTAGCTAGAAACGTCTTTAATCCTTGCCTGGTTTTAATAGCATAATTATAACTGTTTCCATTGCTGTGGAAAGTGTGAGAGCCTAATACAGGCATTAAAAATATTACAAATAACTATGCAATTTTGCAGCAGCGCTTTCAAAGCTTCGTTGTTTATTTTATCATAACCATTAGCTTTCTTTTTCTTTAGGTTTTTAATTGTATCCCTTACTTCTCCTGGGAAAGTAAAATTTATGAAATTAATATTTCTTCTCATTTTTAGGAGGTCTACAGTATTATTAACTTCTATTTTGTGTTCCGAATTTTCTTCTGGGTGTTTTTCAAATGTTTTGCTCAAATTTTCCACCATTATTTCTTTTTTGGAATGAAGAGCACGTCCCATGTGACTGATCGGGTGTAGATGATTGGCTCTCTGTGTCCATAAGGATCTAGCAATCTTCCAAACGGTATTCAGTTGAATATCTAAGTTTTCAAAAAGTCTATCTCAGTTAATAGTACAAAAATATGGAGTAAAGCTGCCCTGATGTTGGCTTTTATATTAAACCTTCCCGGCACGTTACTCTTTAAAGTTGAAATTTTACCAAAAAAAAAAAAAAAATTTATAGGCAGTCTATTTAGGCCTAGGAGAGTATGCAGGTATAATTTTACAAAGATTGCACAAACCATTTCCATTTTGTGGGTGTGTCCGAAGTGAACACTGAGCAGCACGAACTGTGATAGGTGAGCATTGCTGTGAAGCACATATTACAGTGAAATACTATGTCTATGATTTTAAAACAGTAGAATCTGATCTCTGTAGCAGAATTAGCATAACCCAGGGTGCACCACGGGAGGACTGCTCCTTTCTTTTCCGGGATTTTTTTTGGCGGGAGGCCTCTCCAAGCAATTTACACAATTTTAAAATTTATAAAAAAAAAATTAAAATACTACAGTCAAAAGTCGTTAATCCGGACTCATCGGGACTTCGGCGATTCCGGATTATCGATTTTTCTGGATTATAGATCACCAGTCTAAATCTGGTAAGATGGCATGCAGAAATTATAAAATTAAAAATATGAAACCATAATTTATGAAATAAAGAACAATTATGATCTAAAGGGTATCAAAATTTACAAAAAAAAAAGCTTAATATTTATTTATTTACTTTATTAGACATTTCTTTCAACGTAAGTTGTTTAAGTTGCTTCGTTTTATGTGATAATACTTTCTCTTTAATTCTATAAACAGACATAATTTCTTGTTCAGTTACAAAGTTCCGCTGTTCAAGTCCTATAATTGCTGTGTCGAAAATACCGACTAATTTGTCAATCGAAATTTTTTCGTTTTCAATAACCTCTGTGTCACTTCTTCACTATCGGAAGCAAATTATAATGGCAAGGAATTTGATTTAAATCAAATCAAAGACGGAATACATCGAGATGAAATACTACATTTAGTAAGGAATTATAAGCCAAATAAAATGAAAACATCTGCTCTGAAGATAAGGATTGTGCTGACAGATCAACTTCCAATTCATTGTGCTCCGTGGCGTTCCCCCCCTCGCCTTCGAACTAGCCTTGGACTTCGAAACACACTTTCACTTTGTAGATCCTTTACATATTCGTAAATATATATCGTAAATTCTATTTGACATAATCGAAAGTTCAAGCTTACTTTTATAAAATTGCTCTAACAGTCTGCAAAAAATAATAAGCTGGATCCAATTCGAAGATTAAGGAACAACACAGTCTGCAACATTAACTGAATTAGATAATTTTAGCTTATCTTATACCGTCCGTTATACATTAAACGTGCATGCGTAAACGTATATTGCGCATTCGCAGCTGTAAAGGTCAACGCGACGCATGCGCAGAAAGTTTGTAGCTTTGAGGTCCGGATTATAGATCATTCCGGATTATGGGTGTCCAAATTAACGACTTTTGACTGTATAATATTTACAATTAATTACTAACTAGGAAAAAATAATTATTAAATATATATACAAATAAAAATCTACAGAAATCAAAACTGAGGAAACTACGCATGATGAAAGCAAGAGAAAAAAATGGTCTGTTCTCGCTGAAAATTAAATAGCTAAGTGAAAACAAAGCACCAGGGTCTTCAAAACCAAAAACAGAAAGGAATAAAAACAAATATAAATAAATCTGCGCTCTCAGCCTCCCCCCCCCCCCCCGTGTTTGAAGCACGAGACCAGATTCTGTGACTCACTCCTACGTGACAGGCGCTACCAGTATAGCGTGTTCAGTCCGAACACACCATCACACCATACAATTAAGGCTTCCCTATACGCAATATTTCAAAGATAAAAATTAAAAGTAATACAGAATAAGCAGATTAGCATACGAACAACAAAATTAGATAAAGATGTTTTCTTCATTGATATTCTTTATATTTAAAAAAAAAATCTGAAACATTTCTTTGAAAAATCAGTATCTTTAAAAACAGAATATATCTCAACATTAATGATTTTCTTGTGTGGTGCTGCCATCTAGTATTTATAAAAATGATTAAAAGTAACCATTAGTGTAGTATTCATGATATTTAGCGATTATTTTCAGTGTCTAAAGAGGGAATATTTTTGGTGTGTTCACACCGAACACACTGCGCCAGAAAGGGTTAAAATAGCAGAACAGAAAGTTTAAGGGTTGATAATCATTGGGCTAAATGAGGTTTGTTGGTGCAACTGAACTTACTGCTAAACATGAGTTAAAAGTGATGTAACAACCAAATAACACTGTAATTTGTTGCTTGATAGATTATATCTGCCTAAATGGACAAATGATGTTTTAAAGAAAACCGGCTTGTATTTATGTTATACATGAGTAAAACCATCAAAACACCTACACATATAGTCTGCGAGGATTTGAACTACCAGGGTTGATTCAGTTATCTTATTTACCCTACCACTTGTGAGCCCACTGATGTAACTTGATAGAGGATCTATCAAATTCTTTCACATAATCTACACAATCATAACTAGATCTTAACACAGTCTTGAATTCTGATATTATGCACAAAACTTTTCATATTCAGTTCTCAAACTCGCAAGCTGGGAACTTTATGATAATACTGAATTATGCCAAATTTCATAACATTTGTTTCATGTAAAAAAATAGCTAAGTTATTTCCTGCAGCATATTTTACAAATCATTTACAACAAAGTCATTACACACTTCATCGAAAACTATCAGTATTTTAATTTCACATAGTTTATAATTTGATTATGTATTTGTATAAAGCATAAGCATATTGTACTGCTTTTAATAACTAGAGTTTACAAATCTACTGTTCTCACACACACACTAAAAAAAAAAAAAAAAACTAGTAATTAAAATCTAAATATAATTTTATAAGATTCCAATATTTTAATATATTTTTGAACATTTTAGAATATTTACACTATAAAAGTAGAAAACTCATTACAGTTGTCTTACAAAGTTCGTCCAATATAGAAGGCCAAAATTATCGATAACTACCATAATATAACAAATAATAAATTTATGCAGTTGATACATCTTACTGCCATTTCATATCTAACACTAAACTTGAAATAATTTCCAATGTACTTTTTTCCTTTTTCTAATCCCACAAAATAACAAAGAAACTGATCAAAATATCTTGATCAGACAGTTTATATATGAAGCTGCAAAGTCGTGTGTGCATGATTGCATTGTAAGCATTCTTGGGTATTGTGGAAGGCATTAGTGTATATGAAACAACAGAGGTCATCAAAATTTATCAAGCAATGTAAGCAGATTTTATAGTGTTACTGGAGACAGAGCAAGTGTATCAGGTGCAAAGGTGACAGAAGACTAACAACCATACGATTAAATAACAACTTTCAGCTATGAGTTGTGGATGATACATGATACAAGATATACTACAACCAATTTGTATTTCCTTTTTGATGAAAATCAGATTTGTTACCTATTAAGCTGCTCCATAATATTACAGATTATGTATTGCTGATAATGGCCATTTTGAACATCTATAACCTTAGTGTATGTGATATCAGAAAAGTTCATACTTGCTATCATTAGAAATTTTGTTATTAATGTTGAAAGTATGCAAACAGTATTTTGGGATACCCTATATTTGCAGGTGACTTAAGATTTTTTTAAAAAAGAAAATAACAAAAAATTTGGTTCTAAAATGAACAGAAGTTACTGTATAAATTACACTTCCCAATCGGTTTTCTTAATAAGAATTTCTTCATAAGAATTAACACATATGTTCCTGTTAGTTACAGAAATGATTTTATGTAATAAACCCTTTTACTTAAAAATATTTTGAACTGCATAAAATTAAAAGCAAAATAAAACCACGATATAAGCAATTAAAAATTATTCTGACAGATTACTAATGATACAAAAATAGTACAAAAACTTTTTTAGTCATGATTACTTACTTGATTTTCAGACAACCAAAGTGCTTTAAGCTTGAGGAACATAACACTAACTGGCAAGTACTGAACCCTATAAAAATGACACATTGATATCATTTCGAAATTATGTTTGAGAAAATTTATGGCATTTGCGAAATAAAGAATACATAACTAGAGACCTTATGGAATACTATGGAAGGATGAGTAAAACTACTTTTTGTCCAATGATGGATAATAAAAATATATTATAATACATGATACCTCATCATTACTTATCTGAATACAAATCAATGATGCAATAAATCATTCAAAAATTTAATACAACACCATAACTGCCAAGTTTGAAATATGAAAAACCAGATGGTAGTAGATGTTACCATGTGGGTAACATGACTCCAAATTGGCAAATTTGACTTAAGTCAAATGCATAATACAAGCTATTATACTAGTTATGTGATAATTTTCATGCAAAATAAATTAAATTTAGAATGATAAATTAAATACAAAGTTATGGTCTTTGGCTTATTTGATTATTTTAATAGTATACTAATAGAAATCGAAGCACAAAGAAAACAATTTTATTTATTAAAATATTTCTGAACCCAATAAAAATAAATTTAATACCTAATGTGCATATAATCTTGAAGCTATAATTAGTAATTTGCCATTTACAAATTTAAAGCAAAACCTAAAATGCTCTATAAATCTCCATAACATATGAAAACAATTCAGATAAAAAAATTAACTAGAAAAGTTATTTTGAAGATCCCTTAGGGGGAGAAATTAATATGCACAGCTTTTCTGAAGAATGTGTCATCAGTTTTTCTTCATAGCACTTCCTTCGACACCTTAATTATAAACATTTCTTCACAATTTACACTTGAAACAGACAGTAAATTAAAAACCATTAGATTTGCAGATGTAAAAAAAAATTTAGGAATCTCCAAGTTTTACTGGGTGGGTTGGCAGTTCTCCAACACCTATACGAAAGAACAATTAAAGAAAATAAACTCTCCTCTCATGCTGCCAAGGACAGTATAATAGTTAGACTAATCTGATTACTAGGCTAACCACAAGGTGCAGGTTTGAGTCCTTTATTAGGCTTGCATATTTTTGTAACCCACACTTCTACCAAGTGAATGTAATACCGCTGTGTCTTCTACATGATGCATCTTGGGGAACATTTCTATGATAAGTCAGTGGAATGACTAATGGGTTCAGACTCCATAGCAAGTACCTGACTACTGCAATTTCGCAGAAACATCTGTTTACTGCCTACACAGTTATAAACTATACATTAAAATTAACTAAGATTTTTAGATTATGCTACAATATTGTTATTTTGATTCACAAGTTAGGCAGTATTTTATAAAAAGTAATAGAATTTACATCATACATTTTACATGAAAGATTATTTAACTTAAAATTTATTAACATTTTAATATTTCCCTACTACAAAATATAAAATATGAGATTTTTGAATAAATTTCTTAAGTCAAATTTCTCACCTGTTTCCACATAAGTCAAGGACTTGTAGCTCCTTCATCAAACCAATATCTTCTGGAATGTAATATAAACAGTTGTCTCTAAGTGAAAGTAAAGTGAGTCGTGATAGATTACATATTTCTAAAGGAAGACTACTTAATTTATTACAATCTGCAATAAGTGTTCTAAGATTTTTTAAGTCACCAATTGAAGTTGGAAAAGTTGATATTTCATTTTCTTTAAGCACTAATTCCTGTAATTTACTGCACTTCCCCAGGCTCACTGGCAAAGATAATAGTCTGTTGCTATCAACCTGTAACAAAATGACACAAGCTCAAAATATAAAAAAATGTATAACAGGCTTTTTACTCTATAACTGTTAACTTTTTTAAAAGTAAATTTCACGATGTATAGAAGAAAAGGCAACAAGTTTATGTGCATCAGATGACACCTTAAATAAGTGACAAACAATTACAGAGGCTCTTCACACATTTTTTAGACGATGCATATTGTATTCAGAAAATTAAATTACATAAAATTCTTGTGTTTTAAATATTCTATTTGACATCCGTTATTCTGAACTATCTTTCGACACCACAATTTCCAGGATAAAAATGTCTTTTGAAGTGGCAGAAGAGGTATTCTATCCCATTCCTCCCGAACAGCTTTCCAGAGTCCTGTTAGGATTTGGGGACAACGTTTGGATAATGCAGTTTTTAAAAGTGCGAAAGCACAAAAATCCATAGGTGACATATCGGGAGATTTAGTAGGGATATCAGTGAAGGGTATGGCCTTGATACCAGTTTTTTGTTCAATTTCTTTTAGGAAATTTACAGTGGATTTTGATGTGTGACTGCTAGCTTTGTCCTGATGCAGTCTCACAGATTGATGGCACTGTGGGTAAAGCAATGGTATTTCATTCAGAAAAATTGGCGATAAAATATGTTCCTGATAGTATTTGGAGTCAAGCTTGACATTTTTTTGCACTCTCTTTATTTTTAACTTGCCATTATAGGAAAACCAGCAACAATCATGAATCCCTCAGAAAAACTTTCTTTCAATTCTTTGAACCATGTACTTAAATTTTTTCTCCCCTTTTATGATAATAAATGGCTCTTTTTTTTGTTACAATCATTTAAATACACCCATGCTTCATCTATTGTGACAATTGTTTTCCATTTTTCTTTGGATAAGTGTTTCTCATATAGAATTCTGCAGCATGTCCTGCGTTGAGTGATATGCTTTGAAGAAGACGACGCACATTGCATTTTTTCCGCTTTCTTAAGATTTAAATCAACGTTTATCATTTTTTTTTTACAGTGGGCACCGCACATTTTAATGATTTTGCAACTGTCCTTTGACTAGGGGGATTTCTTTTAACATTAAACAAAATACCTTTGCAATAGTTGATGTCCATTTTTTCCTTGGATACTTGTTTGGAATTTTTGTTGCAATTGAGGCTCCAATTTGACAATTTTTTCCCTTTCTTGTTGATGATATTACCTATCGACACTTTAGATATCACAAAACCATGACTCTCAAATCGTTTTTGGATAACGGAGTATGCATATTTCTCTTCGGAAAGAGCGTACAAGTAGCCTTTGAACCATTGCTTTGTTAAATTCGCCATTTTGAATAAAAACAAAACTTTCAAGCCACAGACGATAATTTTGACTTTTAAAAACATAGTACAATTGCAATTACTTCTTTTGCAGCAAACGATTTTTTATTACCACTTACCAAAACCATCTAAAAGAATGTGCGAACAGCCTCTGTAGTACCCTTCATTTAAGAATAGAGAGGAAATGTGCAATATGATTTGCAAAGGTTCTCGTACATTTTATCAGACACATTCTTCTTTTAACCACATGCGAGTCACATTGTCTTATATTCGGAACAAAACTTATTATCACGGGTCTGGCCCGTAGTACATCGGTCAGGCCAAATGTAAATATTATGGGCATGGATCCTGGTTACATTGATCGAGATAAATGTAAATATCACGGGCATGGCCTTTGGTACAAGGATCGAGCCAAATGTTAATATCACAGGCAAGGTCCATAGTGAGACGGTAGTGTTTTGCAATTTGCCCCAGTGGCATAGCGAGGGGGACAAGGGGGTGTATGATGCCCCGGATTCCTCTCCCAGAGGGGGGCCAAATGGTCTAAAAACAAGATTTTCATCATATCACTGTGTTTTTTGGGGGGGTGTGCCAAAAAGGTATTTTGTCCCGGGACCAGTTATGCTTATTACTCCACTGATTTGCCCCACCACAAACAGCAAAGACCAGGCTCATGATAGATCCTTATTATCTCTTTGTATCATAATCAGTTAGATGTTATGCTTGGCCACGTTTGAACTTTGAAATATATTTTCTTAAATATTACAGAAGCATCCCCATAAGATGTTTTCAAAAAGAAGATTTTGTAATAAGGACAGTGAGAGTTATGATCAAAAAAAAAAAGCAAGCCATTAGTTATTGATGATACCTCTGATGAAGATCAACTTCCAGAACTCTGGATTTGGAAAGAAATACGAAACAGTCTCAAAATCTGGAACTATATGATGACTTCCGACATAAAAGAGGTATCCTTGCATCAGTCAGGGGGAAATAAAAGAGAATTAGATATATTTAATTTAATATTTGATAACATGTTCTAGGAGAATATTGTAATCGAGACTAATCAATATGCAGATCAAATACAAACCAATCCAGGCAGAATACAAATAATCGACGACACTTAGTTTCCTGTGAATTCTAATGAAATTAAAAGACATTTTGCATTGTCCATAATAATAGCTCAGGTGGAGGGAAAAAAACAATAACTCAAATGAATTGGTTGAAGACGGTTGTTATATAAATGCCCATATTTAGAATAGCAATGTCGCTAAAAAAACATCTGCAAATTACAAGATTTTGCAAAGAATAATCTGGTGGCAAATAGAGACAAATTGAGCAAAATGAAACCTGTGACCAATTTTTTTTAAATAAAAAATTTAAAGAAATGCATACAGTGAAAAAGGATATTAATATCAATGAATTGCTCATAGAATTTAAAGGCTGCATATCTTATAAACAATTCAATCCATCAAAAAGGGCAAGATTCGGTGTTAAATTTTAGAAATTATGCGAGTCACATTTGGTTACTGCTGTGACTTTATATACAGGCCATGATAAAATAGATTGTGATGATAGTGCTTCTGAAAGTGTTGTCAATGAGGTATCACAGTCAGTGTTGCACAAAGGTCACAATTTATACATAGATAATTGGTACCCTTCACCAAAATTATTTATGACACTATAGTTCAATTATGAAACAAATGTCACTGGCACAGTACCTGTGAATATAAGACAGAATATACCAAAAGATTTGTGAAAAGTAAAATTAAAAAGGGGAAATACACAATAAAAATCTGTAATTCGAATACTCCCTGTAAAATAGAAAGATAAGAGAGATATTCATATTCTGATGTCAAAACATAAAACAGTAGAAATGACTATACAAGGATACAATCATACTTCAAATCCAATTTGTGTTATCGAGTACAGCAAGGTAATGATTGGAATCGATTGACAAGACCAAACATTAGCACGTTTTTCAATCATGAGAAAATATTTGAAAGGATATTGAAAAATTTTCTTTTATCTGCTTGGCATTGTTTTTTTGAATTCGTATATTTTATTCAACAAAACAAATAATAGGAAAAACAAAGTTACATCAATTATAGGATTGAGATAGCCGAATCGTTACTGAAGAATATGTTGAAACCAGATTATAAAGGACAATTATCGCACAGAGATATAGCAGAGAGACCGCATATGAGAAATTGGGCTCATTTTCCTAGACATACGAACCCAACAGCATCAAAATTAAGGCCTTCAAGATAGCCTGGTAGGTATAACACATGTAAAGTCTTTTCGTTGTGAAAGAAACATTCATATTTAACAGATACAGGCATTAAGAATAACTTCAATGGCACTGTCATAAGCAGATAAGAAAGAAGCTAAGAGGAAAATTTACAAAAGCATCCTGAGGCGAGATTGAACATGTTGCATACTAAAAAGGAAATCATTCTACTTTTGCCTACTAATAGCCTCAGCAAATGCACGACTTGGAGTTTAACAATTATTTATTAACAATTAATATTAACTTATTTAAAACAGACTCAAAGCTTCTATAAAATTTTTACTGCTCTTCAGTACAATTACCAAAGTTGCACAGAACAGTTAATTAGCAAATCAAAAGTTTTATTATACTTTTAGCAACTCTTGGGGGTCTAGTCTGGACACTGGTCGAGATCGATGTCGGAAAACCAATCGGGATTCTCTTTCCACTCAACAGCAGGCGGGAGAGCGAGTCTGACCCCTTCAAATTCTTTCGACGGAAAATGAGGTGGAAATTTCATGCGGAAGTGACATTTATTGCATAGCCATCTGTCTCACATCTACATTGCTTGAGGCTCAGGGGAAGGGAGTAGTTTGTTGTCAAAAGTGCTCTTTCACACGTGCTTATCCCTGAGGATGGCGGTAGAGGGGGGAAAAAACAATTACCAACCAGTTCGAGTAAATGGTGAATTTTTTGAAAAACATCCGCAGATGTTAAGCGGTAAACTTGGTAACACATTTAGAAAAGAGCACAGAAAAAAAAAGGAATGGGGAGAGTTAATGGATATTTTAAACGCAGAAAGAAATGGCCTTTCCAAAACTGTAGATATGTGAAGAAATGTAAACATAAATTTACGTATGATCTTTTGCAAAATGGAAATTTTCTGTTAGTAAAGTATCTGTTAACAGGAATTTTATAAACATGATTTTAAAGTATTTGTTAACAGGAATTTTACGATTAAAATAATTTTTGTCTTAAAAGGTTATGCAACGTCACAAATCAAATCAATCAAATAAAGCGTCATGTATGTGTGTTTAATATTTCTATTAAATTTGAATCAAAATTTTTTTAAATTTTTAGCAGCTGATGATTACATCAATAATTTTAATTATTCATGAATTATACCTATCATGTAACTACAGATATACTATGTATCGTAGATATTAATAAGCAGAAAACTTTGGAATGATGCATTATTTACTACTGAGTAAAAATATAACAAATGTTTAACAAAAGTAATAGAAAGGAAAATAAAAAAATTATATAACTATAGGTTAAATCACAAAACATATCATCTGCATATATATGTGCACGCTCACACACACACACACACATATTACATAAAATGGAAGAAAAAATTACATAACAACTGCAAATTCAGCAAATGGAAGGATTTTCTGTTTATGTAAATTAACCTTGGCATTCTTCTGCATAATTAGGTGCAATTACAGTACCATTTACAGCACCGGTGACACCAGGAAATCCAAACTTTTGATTGAATCCTAATTTTATTTTGTTATGTTGAAAACTATTTACTGTAAATTTTATCCATTTGGTGAAAATACCAGAACAAATAGCATTTGTAACTTCTCAAATACAACCAAATGACATATTTCTGGCTCAGACCTATATATCTGTCATTAGCAACATTATCCCTGATTTTGTCCAGAAGCATAAAAGTTTAAGGCACACAAAACTGATTTTAAATAAATAAATAATTATATAATATAGTTATATATAACATATGCAGTGAAAGAAATTGCATACATATTCCTATGTATACTCTTTTTAAATCGATCCCCCCAGCAACCGAGCGGTAAAATCAGCGAACACTGGTAGTTCGGTCTCAGGTTCGAATCCTGCAAAAAGGATGGCTGCATGGGCGTTTTCATGGTTTTTCCCATGTGTAGAGTGTATATCAGCTAGTTTCCCTTAGAAAGTCCTTACAAAGGCAACCCTCATTATAGGCAAATAGCCCTTTAGGTTTTGCCTTAATCATATAAAAACAAAGCCAAAAACTTTTAAAATCTGAATAAAAAATATACAAAAATGATGTAATATCTAAAAGTAGACAACAAAAAATCTGATAATTTAATTATAAATCATGCATTAAAATATTTACAAGAATTTAATTTAACTGAAAATTATACATTAATTTAATTTAAATTATACAGCAAATTCTAAAAACTACTGGAAATTCACATGCATATTGGTACAATTAAAACTACTCAAATAAATTTTTAACTCAAAGCAATTTAATATGAATGTTAAATTCAGAATGTGCATAATTTGAATATATACTGCTTATTCTTTAATGCATTTGTTGGAACTACTCTTATATGTGGCCTTAGGTCGCCAAATTTCTTGCCAAACATCCACAGTGCCATATTACTATCTAAATTTTTTGTCTACATTTCAAACTTTAAGCCTAAAATGTCTCCAAAAACGCAGTTTTCATACATGCAAAAACCATGTTTTGAACACACAATTTTTAAGCTAAAAATCTGGGGAGAATAAAAATTTAGATAGCAAAAATGTAAAGTTTCTAACCAAAAATATCTGACAAGAATCCATGTACACAGCGATATGTTTTAACTTAAAAAAAATCTACGAATTGCACAATATAGACAGTGAAGAAATCTACAAACTATGCACACCTCGCTTTAATAAATTAACATAACAAACATAAATTTCAAAGAATACCATGTACACAGCATTCTATTTAAACTTAAAAAAACATCTACGAATTGCACAATCAAGGCATTGCGCATAAATCAACACAATAAACTAACCAAAATAAATTAGAAAAAATTCAATAAACAACAATACCAACAGAAATTCATAGTAAAAAAACAATGAACATAACATTCTACAAAATAAAAACAATAAAATAAAATGCACTTGCCATAATGGATGTTTTTTTGGACACGTACTCTCTATGGTATTTATATGACAGCCAGACTCACTATGCACAAAAAAATCATACTATGGTTCACAAATAAATGTTCAAAACCTTCTTTTTCTAAATCCTTGTAAGATTTCCAGCCATCCGAAAAAATAGTTGTACAAGGCTCAATCCACTCTTTAATACACTGCATGAGCGTTTCCTTATTTCTATCATGCACAGCCACTAGAAATAATCTCCCAGACCTTCTTGCAACCACGTCTTTCATTGCAACATAGACCATTTCAAAACACGCACGACACGAACCATCGAGCAATTAAACCACTCCAGCAAAAGAGTTTTCAACGTCAAACGGGTTGCCATACAACATGCAATAGTACCAAAAACCAGCGCAGAACTTATATCACCACATTTGGTGATCTTAGGGCGAATATAAGAGTAGAGTTAATGCAGCTCTTAATAATGTAATGTATTACATTTTTATTTTTATGTTAATGTATTACATTTTTATATACTATAAATTAACAGTAGAGGGAATATATTATAATTTAAAACATAAAATTTATAAATTAACTCATCAAAACAGGAAATTAAGTACATTAATATAAACATTAGTTTAAAAATTAAAATTTTAAATTAAAAGTATGCACTCCTTTTTTACATGTGAAAAGAAAAACACCAAATATATTATTTTCACTAAAATAGAATTAAGAAATTGCTTATCTGATAGACCAATAGCCAGAAGCCTATACCATACAGATATGAAAACAAGCGAATTATTCCTTACCTTTAATTCAGGAATTAATGCTGTCTTTGATGTGGATGCTCTAGTAAAATATGGCCTTAATTTATTGATAAGGGTCAATGCTATATAGGTTCAGTAAGTTAAAATAATCCAATAAAAGTAGAATCATCAGCATCAAATGCATTATTTCTATATCGAAACATTCGAGTTCTTTGTAAATCTTAAGAAATTAAAATATCCATTACGTACACTTCCAAAAACTATGCATGACTTCTACCAGCTTCAGTTTAGCAATAAAACGACAGTCAGAAAGTTAAACGACAGCTACACAGGTGATGGAAAAATTACTGATGCATTGATCTCTGTAATGATCGAGATGAAGACACAAGAATCGCTCTTTGTTGAGTAGATCGCAAACAACGACCCATTCTTCCATCTCGACGGTGTCCAGACTAGGGCCCTTGCTTTGTCAATGTCTCAATGCAGTAGTCTATACATGAAAAATCTTAAGAAAAATATGACTAAAAATGTCCCAAAATGGTTCCTTATGATTCAAATCACATTAATCAAGCCAGGGAGCATGATGGATGGTAGAGAACTTATGTGCTATACGGAGTAAACAATTAGCCACAGAACTACAAGCACTACATTATCCTGCAAAAATGGCGGAAAGATCCTGCAGAAAATGTTCCATTTCTTTTGGAACACCAGTTGCAGAGTACTAAAAGTAGATAGTAAAACTGCACACTGATAGTCTTACCCTTCAAGTATTAATGGCATTATGGTCTTAAATGAGAACCACCATAACATTGTTGGGGCTCTGATGAATATTTGTCCTTGAAATGATCTGTAATGATGCCACATGTTTCACTGGCATTCAAGACAAGATTTCAAAACCCTTTTTTAAATTGCAGGACTTCACAAAAATGTAAATCTCAATAATCCTGATGATTTGGCCACAGCACTATCTTTAAGGAGTTTGTTTGGATTCCAAGATGATATGACATTGGTTTCATGTGTCCCAAAGTGGAGTAAAAAAGTGATCCTCTTGTTATCCATGCAACATGATGACAAAAGTATGGATGACAAGAAGAAACTTGAAATCATAACTTTTTATAATGAAACAAAAGGTGGTGCTGAATGTGTCAACGAGAGAGTGACATTTTATAATGTTGCTTGAAACATGAAATGTTGGTCAATACGCTGTACTAAATGTAGCAGCTTATAATTAATACTGTTGCATGCGTATGGGTTCATTTGAATTGAATGTACAGGTCCGATGAAAAATGAATAAGATTTATTATTATCACAAATAAATAAAACAAAATGCTTCAATTTCCTCAGATATTCATACAGTATTACAATATCTCACAGTATTTACCTTTTAACTACTCAAACGTTCAAAAGAACTTGATTCAAAACATCTAGAGAAAGCTAATCCACGAATTTGCTACCGTCAACAAGAGCAGTTTTTTAAACAAACTCTTAAAATAACAACAAACTAACTGACTAACAACAACAAATTGAGAGGTTTTTATGCTGCTTATATAAACTTTCTAAATGCACGAGAATTTTCTAGCACTTTCTCGAAATAAAAAAAGAGATATTTATTTATTTATTTATTTGTTAAATGCACGTACTCTTGTATTTTTAATTTTCCGGCTTAGCTTTCCTTTAAATATTCATCACGCACTGCACTGCACAGGGAATAAAACAATTTAATTTATAATTCAACTAACATTACCTATTTGAATACCAAATCCGTAACAATATTTAACTTTCAAATTAAATACACCTGATAACGCTGAAGCCGGAAACAGAGGAAAATCTTTTAAAAAACTCCTGTTTGATTTGACAGAAGACCATATAAAAGAAAGAGCAATGTCAAAAAACATTGCAAGGAACATTCATACTGCTGCACAAAAACTTCCAAGAATAGTTCTAGTGTTGGAACATCGAAATGAAACGGGCGATGTGCCTATTGTAACGACAGAAAAACTCAATACATGTGTGATCAGTGCAAAAAATATCTTCGTTTAGAACATGGTGTTTTTTTTAATGAATGTAAAAATGAAATATGAATCATTGTTTTGAGTCAGCTATTCATCAAGAATAGAAAATACCTTTATCAAATGCTTATTTTATTTTAACTATTTTGTTTTGCATTAAAGTTCACTATAATGGCTAAAAGGATACCTTTGTTGTAAAAAAAAAAAGTTCACAAGCCTATAAAAATTTATTTTCTTGATCTAATTTAGGGTTTTAGTATTATATGTATATTAAACTAAAAGAAGATAAGTTGTTTTAATTTTAAAATGATGCAAGTACGGCATATCTTATGTAAAGTACAATGGGTCTCACAGACCCAACCCACGCATTTACAGCATATTTTTTCACTTGTGCATTCACTGGTTAATTTTGGTTTCACCTCAGAAATGCATTTTCTAAAATACTTATATTGTTGGTGAACTAGTCTGCCAGCTTTGACAGTGAATGCCCTTTTTATGTATAATTAAGCACATACAGAATTTTATCATCAAAACCCTTTCACTGTTGACAATAATTGGCAATCAATTTTAGCATAACTATGATTTATATATTTATGCATAAAAACTCTTAGAAATAAATGACTTCCTTACCTTAAAAACTGTAAGCTCTTGAAGATTACCTATTCCGTTCGGCAAAAGTTGCAGATAATTCTGAGAAACATAAAAATCGGTTAAGTTTTCTAAGCCAGATATTTCCTCAGGAAGAAATTCTAAATCATTTTCTGAAATATCCAAACACTTCAAACTCTTTAATTTCTTGATGTCCTAACAGAAGAAACATAAGCACATTTAGAAACATTTCGATGAGCTTTTGGATGCATAACTAAAGGCATTTTATTTTTAACAAACTGACTGAATTTATTTTCCTTCTGTAAATAAATAAATAATATTCAATATAGTTAATATATAACAAATTGTATTTTGCAAATAAATCATGTAAATGTATATCCTTACCTCCATACCAAAATCATGAACTACAAAATCGTTCAATTGAGAAAAATGTGCCTAAATAATTGATGTTTTCTTTATTTCTACTTTATTTTATTGCAGACACACAAACATTCTCATATAATATATTCATTTCATAGAATGCACACCTTTCTTTTAACACAGCATAAAACATTCAGAAGTAACATACAAAACTGATGCGATGATATAAGTAAAAAAATAAAAGTTCATCATTCAAATATGGGAATAATGACATAAAGAAAAAAATATTTATAAAATAAAACTTACACTTAAAAGAGTTGATATTTCATTAGAATCCAACCACAACTCCTGCAGCTTCACTAACTGACATAAACACGATGGCTGAAAGGAAAAAAAATGATAATAATATTAAAACTAGTACAGTACAAAAAGTCCTTATGTTTCAATCAAAGTCATTACCAGTTTTGATGCTGGAATGAGAAACAGTAAAAGATGATTGCATTTTCAAATTTGATGTATCAAATAAGTGGTTTGAAAAGAAATAAAAACTAGATATTCATAAAGTTTCAAAAGCAAACTATGGATCAAAACAATCAAGTGCTGCATCTCAAGTCAAATCACATGTAAATAAGTCAATGGAGATGCCAAACACTAACCACAGGTTACCAGTTTCAAAGATTACACTGAAATGAGACTTTATTTGACTTGGAGTCAAGTAACCAAGTAAAAGCTGTGGATCCCTTGTATATGTTAAGAAAAAAAAATAATAAAGGAATCAAACACATAGTTCTTTACAGGTTACTGCACAACTTGAAACTCAAAACTTCTGATACATTTGGAAATTCATTAATTTGACATAATTTTTTCGTATGTTAACAAGATCTTCAACTAATACACACAACTTCAATTCTATTAAAGCTGTTTATTTACAGCAAACAGTGTTTCCACATTATCCAATGACATAGATGCATTTATGTATCCAAAAGAAATATTTTCATGTATTTACACTATGATGTTTAATGGCAAAATTAAAAATAAAATTCTTCATCATTGCGTAATCTAACTAAAATGCTTGGAAACAGACTATTACATAATTAACACATTTCAAATAAAAGGTATGAGTTTGAAAAATATAGCATAATATAATGAAAATCTATTACTGAAATAAAACAATTTTTATGTTAAGCTTCATTTTCATATATTAAACTTTTCTAAAGCAGAAGAAAACATACCATTTCCTCAAACATATTGCTTCCAAGATCAATACATTCTAAGTTTTTTAATGAAACAAATGATGATGGTAAATCTTTCAACATGTTGTCCCGCAGTTCAAGGGTTTTCAAATTTACAAGCCTGTAAGATTGAAGTAAAAAGTGAATATCTTTAAGAAACATCCCCATAAATCAGTTTGATGAATGTAAATACATAAACATAAAAGATCTAATAAATACTCTAAAGCTTTTCCGAGTATTTATTTTCAGTGTTCAGAATTAATTACCTGCCAAAATCTGACGGAAGCTCGGTTAAGTTCACATCACTCAGTCGCAAGTCTGTAAGATTCTGAAGGTATACAATGCTAAATGGAATTCTGTGAAAGAGCAAAAGTAATTTTAGATAAAATGAGAAACATTAAAGTATACAGGAAAGCAGAACTTTTCTTGTAAGATGGGTAATAAAATAGTTACATGACAAATACATACAAATTTCATAAATTTTATTTGAAAAATAATACAAAGTACTTGTCATAAAACTGTATTGATAATATATTAACAAACCACACATTTCCGGGAAAACAAAACAGTGATGAATTTATACATGAAAAAATTTCAATTACTATTTCTTCTTTATATCAAAAAGTTCCATTTTTTTTTTAAATTTATGAAGTCTCAAAAACTTACAATATTTACATACTGTACTTTTCCTGTTTTTAAGATAGATTTTATCATCAAATAAATAATAAAATCAAATAAAATTTTTATCCCAGTCACTATTAAAAATTTTGTCACTACCAAAATCTGATCATCACTTGATATTGACAATATTTCCAGGGATAGAACAACTTGAAATACTCAGAAAGCAGAACTGCTAAACAAATTTTAGATTAAATACCACATGGGTTCATTTAATGTGTGCTAAATAAGAAAGGAAACATGTGATTAGGAATAATCCGAGCATACTTTTCATACTAACATGAATAATCATAATATTAATTATGAATTATACTTCATAAAATAATTAAAAAGTACAGAAACAATGCTGAAAAGGAATAACAACCATACAGCACTAACATGCTCATTTTACAGCAGCTAGAATGGGCCCTATTTTCAATTATCTCAGGAAATCCACTTTAACTAGAACAGTCAGGATTCTACTCTATATAATGAAAACCTGAATAAATAAAAGTTAAATTATTGCAAAACCTGCATTAAATATTTATCAGGCAGACTACGAGGTGAATTAATTTAGATTTAAATAATTTTGTTGTTTATGAAAATATTTCACTTGTGATTCATAACTCAGCATTCTTTTAAGTTATTCACCCAAGGCGAGAATTTAACTTCTTTCACTTAATCATTGTCTTAGTCCTGTTCTTATGATAGGAGTATTTAAATTATTTTCAAAAGTTTGCATTAAAAATTCAAAATCGTTGGCAAATAAGTACAATACATAACCTAGTACATTAGTTAAAAATACTTTACATTTTAATTGCACGTGTTACAAATGCATAGTTCTTTTCCAATTTCATTACAATCTCATATGTCTTTACATTTTCATATTAGGCTATTTTATTTAAGTGTGATAAAGCATATGAAGGTTACCTGCCTGAGGGGAGAAAAGCCCATGCGAAGAATTTTCTAATAGAAACTGGTTTGTATTCAAGTTACATGTGCAGAAAACCAATCATGTATATAGCCTTTTAGCCTGGGATCGAACTCCCACTATTCAGCGATCTTACCTATTCGAGCACTGGTGAATATTATGCTTGCAAGTAACAAACAGTTATTTACCAATTAAGATGCTTTGCAAAACATTTGATAGAACAAAATAAAAAAAAAAAAATAAATGCCAGAATAAAAATGAAAATGCTTCACAGAAATATGCGGGATGATTTTAGATGTAAAAGAGGGTTTACTGCATGTTCTAAAAGTTCAAGCAATGACGAAAAATTTTCAAGTGAAATATACGAAAAAATTAAGTAAAATTTTTTAAGCACTTTTAAGAAATGTCTAAAAATAAAGTTAAACACAAAGAATCCTCCTTAAAGTGGATGTGGTCATCTAAGAGAGGTAATGTTTAATACCTGTATTTAGTTACGTTCTCTCAGAAACACTGGTCATCTTAGGAAGATGGTCGCTAACAGAATCCACTGAAATTATATATTGTTTCTGAAATATATCTATGTATACATTTTCTATGTAAAATTTTAAATTTGAGTCTTTTTTAATAAACAATGTAAAAATCAGTTTCTGTTAATATCTTCCTGCTGAAATGGCCACCAGTGGCGGAAAGGTAAAACCGATGAACACCTGTAGTTCAACCAGACGAATAAGCTGACTGCATGCAATTTTTGTACTTTTCTTAATGTATAACATATATAAGAACCAATTCCTGAAAAGGTGCTCCACAAATGCATCCCTTTGCTTAGACAGATAGCCTTAGTATGTTTTGCCATAATTCAATTGTTTTTTCATAACCAAGTCAATATCCAAACGATTAATTGCACACCATACATGAAAATATTAATGACATTTGAAAATGAAACAAAACAAGATTTAACTTTTACTAAAAGAATATCACACTAGCAAAGTGAAAGAAAATAGCATTACAATTCAATAATTAATCAAACAATTTTAATAGTACACGTAAGCTCAAGCAGTTCCTCATCTTTCCTTTTCCAATTCTTTTTTTGATTATATTTTTCATGAAAAAAATGCCAATACAACTTTATAAAATAGATTAATTAAATAATAACCTTCAATAGTTAAGTACATAAAATTCTATTAACTGCTATATGTAGCATTAACTTTCTGCTAATCTACATGAATCTAATGTCATATACTATGCATCCGCTACAGAAACATATGATATTCCAAATACGAAGATTTGCAAATTTAAGAAACATTTTAGCTGTAAATTAGATTAAGACATACATATATATGTGTGGTGCCAAAATTAGTACCATATGGTGCTGAGCTTCACCAGGTGAAATTCTCACCTGGTGATGTGTTTAATTGGCAGTTGGACTTGAGACACGTTTAATGAACAACAATGACTGTATTATGTTAAAGAAGTGAATTTATTGCATTTGTGAAAATGTGTACATGTTTTAATTTAATTAAACATTGTCCAACATAAAGAAAGCTCTATAGATGTTTCTACCACCCACAAGACAGTAGCACATTTTTCTTCAGAAGCGGTATTACAGACTAGCATGGTAAATAAACTATTTGGATTACAGAAAGAATAACTTTGAAGCTAGAAGGTATGCAGATTTTTTTTTCATATATGACAATGGTTTTAAGTGAAATTTAAAAATGTCTTCTACGATGCACTGAAGAACTATAAAGCAGATAAAATTATAACTTTACATAGATTTATTTTCTATTCTGGCAGAGATAGGTCAAATGGAAAGCAAATTAAGAATTTTTCTAGCTTTGCTTCAGATAGTGATGAATTCAAAAGAAATCAAAACATATAGAAGAAAGCTGTTTATTTAATGAGCTAGTCACAATTTCTAACATCCTAAGCATTTCATTTGAAGGCAATAAATCAGAGCTATCAAAAAGTATTTCATCTTTATTATGAGATGCTGAAACACTAGGTCAAAATGTAAATGCACCAAGATGTCTAGCTCCAAGTAGAAAGAAGTAAATAAATTTTCAATGCAGCACGATATCTTTTTAGAAGATAACTAACCTTGATACTTCCGTACAGTGTGATTAAAGTTTCATGCAGAATCGCATGAAAATGTTGTTCGTTGGGTCGAACATTTTCAGAATACTTCTGAATTGTTTATGTCGAATTTTAAAAAATTAATTTTCACCAAATGATCACTTGGCAAATACGCTGCATTATTTGTTCAAATAGAATTGTAACTTAACTTATGGTTAAAATTTAGAAAAGCCTTGATTGATGAATTCTTTTTTGAAATAAATTTTGCTCATTTACATGAACTGTTAAGTCAAAGGAAAATAAAGACCACTGAAACGACTCAAGGATATTTCTTAGATATGAATTACGTAATGTGGGGAAAAAAGATAATGCTGCCTTAATGCATTATGCTAGAAAAGAAATAAATGAAACGTACAAAAATAAAATTATATTGTACGGATGTTAAAACTCAAATGAATTTAAAGAAAAACTGAAAGTGCATAAAGTAATGAGAGATGATTTTACAAAAAGTAAATATGCTTTCAATAAACTGAAAACATATGTTGAGAATCGAGTATTTAATTGATGTTAGGTGCAGTTTTAGTGGCATCATTGTTTTGTCGTATTATTATGTTTTATGCATCTGTCATCACTGTTATTTCTGTCATTCTAAAGTTTTTATGTAAACAATAAGATGTACTTAAAGTTTCTTTATTTTCTGCTTAGTGCGAAATTCATTTAGCCATCACTCTGTTTTGTTAATTTTATAACATGTTATGGGTTTTAGCGATGTTTAACTGCACAAAATAAAGTAACAATGGCTATGTTGACATACTTGAATCACGGATTTTTGACTTTCGTTTCTGATTTCAACACTTTCACCTGAACAGTGTGTAGGTAGACGCTACAGTGTACTGATAGCCCTTTTTTTATGCATATTTCCTGGTTAATGACGACGTAATATGGAAGCTAAAAATTTTGTTCAGTGTACCAAATTGGAAGGTTTATTCATCTGGACTGATTGGAAATTTGAAATAAACTCTTTGTTTGTGCGGGCATCTACAAGAATTCCCTTGTCGTGCCAAAAGCACTGGCAGAAGGTGCGAATGAAAAGACGATACACAAGTACAATGAAGCCGCAAAAGCATATCCAAAGGTGAAAGCTGCTGTGATCATTCGCAGAAACGTATCAACGAATGTGTTAAATTTGATCTGTATGCATGGTAATTCTACACTAGCGATATGGAATGAGTCGTTAAGTAATTTTGAGAAGGTGTCAAGAATGAAATTGGATACTCTTCAGCAAGTTTTTCATCTTTCGGATCGAGAAAGATGAAATCACTCACACGTTTACGCACACTGTGGGTGGATCTTCAACGTGAGCAAGAGTTGAGTGGCGAAGGAAAGTTGCCACAGAACTTGCCTAGCTCCCCGAATCTTATCTATTCTTCCTGATCATGAATATCTCGAGTTCAAATCACAGTGGGACTCAATGCCAATGATGGAAAAGTAACCTGAAAAACTGATCGAACAGATCAACATGCAGCTGCAAAGAAGAAAGCAAGAGCTTAGAAACAAAAGTATGATAATATTTGTGACAAATGCTTAATTATGGTGCAAAACATGGTGAAAAGAAACTAAAGAAGGGTGGTTAAAAAACCTCAAATGATCAGCCAACCCAAAACTCTTGACAACAAATACCAGGTCACGTAGGTA